TTAAGTGAAATAAGTTACTCTTAACAACTTTAATAATTGAAACATCTGTCATGAAGAAATGGTTTATTGTGGAAATTCAGTGCTTCACCGAAATAAGGAACGTACCAAAAGCTTTAAACAAATCAAAAAACTAGAAGACACTGTATTATTTATTCTAGAGCAAAGCCAGCATCAGATTAGAAAAAGTTGGTAGAATTTGTCCTATTGGATTAGCCAATACTCCAATCTCCTCAACATTTAACAGCCTCTCTGACAAATTAACCAGCAAAATCAAACAGTTTCAATGTCACTAATTTCTTTCTTCTCTTTGCTATAAAAGCTGAGCAAATAGTCAAATGACCAAACACACAGGCAACTCAATCATTAATTTATTTAATAAATATGACCGCAGTTCTACTATATTCTGCGGATCGGGCTGAGTGCTAGTTATCATTGGTAATAAACTAATCCCCTCACTTTGGACTCTGACATAATTTAGAAATACGATTTGAGACAGGACACAATAAACACTGGATGCTTGATAAAAGATCTACCAAACGTCCTTTAGTCTTACACAAGTAGAAGTGTACACATTGATATATGAATGAAAAGTTTAATAATAATGTATTTAAAAGTATCACTGTAAAAAAAGCTTATGCTAATTTCATTGCTAATTTCATTGCACTACGTATATCTCACTGATTAAGAAAGCAAATTTCTGCTCACATTCAATGAATATTTAATGGACTAATATGTGAACCTGAAATCTGCTTATGTCTTTTTTTTTTTTTTTTTGAAGAGGTTTTTGCTACAGGGTGCATGTAATCGCCAGAAAGACAAAGAGAGAGAGAGACAGTAAGTGAGAAATCACCCCCCATGGGGTATGGCCATGTTGCAATCCCTTCTCCTTCATTCTCCTCTCGGGATCTTGGGTACGCACACACAAGTGTCCAGTGTGAGTTTAAGCCTCCAGGTCCAGGACTCAAACCTACATGGGAGTCAACAACATGGGAGTTCAGCAACATAGCCATTACAGCAACTGCTGGTCCTATCATTTATTTTTAAAGGTTTTTGTCATATGGTGCATGTGCTTGCTGGAGAGACAGAGAGAGATATAGTGATAGAGAAAATGAGAAATCACCTCCCAAGGGGATGGACACACTGCAATTCTCTCTCCTTCATATTCTCTTTGAGATTCTGGGGATGCCTAGTGTGATTTTTCAAGCTGCCCTGGGTCCAAGATTCACATCGCAGTCAGCCATGTGGGAATCCAGTACCTTAACCAACACACCACCTGCTAGCCCCTGCTTATGTAAATTTAAAATATAAGATTTGGCTTTAAGTGATAGACTAGCAAAATAATTCAATTTTGTTGTGTGTTCTAAGCTTTTTTCAATTATACCATAGAAGTACTTAAGAAAATTACTGAATTGTAATAAATAATATGATAATCACTTTTCAGTACTATTTTCTTAGTTAAATGCAAGAAACTGAAGATTGTCCATGAACCAGAAACTATCCTTGGCACTAAGCATACAAAAATAAGGCAAAGACTCTGTCTTCTAGAAGATTAAAGACCAGCGGAACATAAACATCTGAATCCATGAATAATTTTGATACAATGTGGTAAAAGTATACATAGAAATGAGAGGCCCTTAATCTAGCTGGAGGGAGGTTAGCGAATAGGTATCAGTGATGGTCAGAAGGCACCAGGGAGAGGTAACCAGAAGGAGGTCATCCATAGATGACCTTCATGGTGATGATGACTGAGCAGTGTCTTGAAAGATGAGAAGACATAACCAGGTAGTAAAGTGGGGTGAGCATGTTAGCAAAGGCAAAGAAGTACAAAATAGCATATTGGATAATAGGAAGCACAAACAAGAATTCTGAAAAGTTATGTTCTACCAGGATCTCATGGCCTTTCTGTGGCTTTTGTTTCTTAAAACTTTACCTTTTCTGGTGCACTGATAGTACCTCTCCCTGGGAGGCTGGATGCTACATGGGAGGCACCAGTTAAGCTCTCAAATCAGCCTGAACACACCTCAAACAGCATATATGCCTGTAATCCCAGTTAATTGGGAGGCAGAGGCAGAAGGATTGCAAGGCAGATTCTGTCAAGAATACCTATCCCTTTCCTCCTTCCACCCCTCACTCATAAAGGAAAACAAAACAGAACAAAAAACTTTACCATTTTGTATTTCACACACTCACATGGAGGGCAAGTAAACAGCACTATCTGGAGGGCCTCTTTTATGATCTTAACCACCCAGAACATGCAAAAAGACCTGAAAATGTAAAATGGCTACAACAAAATTCATGTGGTGTGAAGTAGAAACTGACATTAGGAGACAAAAATTGCACAATAACCTGGGAATATTTAGTGTAGGGGCATTCAGGTCCACACAGTAAACCCCTGGGAGAATAAGTATACTGTAGAATCGTATGTTACCTGATGGTTAGAAAAGTAACCCAGAATTACTGAGATAAAGCTACATCCTGCTGTGTAGTAAATACATTAAAAAGATCCCTATCTAATACTGTTAAAATAAAAAAAGCAATATATTAAATGAGAAATCTGCCATTACCTGTGAAATTTATATGGTGCACCACCTCATTTCCCAATCATATCAGATAGAAGAGATATTATTACAACACAAATAATAAGATTTAGTGACACAAGAAGTCTCTTTGGATATGCAATAGTTAGGGTCACAGACAGCGAGAAAAGAAAAAAACTATAGCTTCTAATTTATTATATGCATTAACTTTTCATTTTTATATGACAAAATTTCTATTGCAAAAGCTTATTTCCTCTGATACTTTCACACATAAAAAATTTCAATAAATATTGATGAAGTGAAAAGATGAATAAAAACAAATGATATTATATACTGAAAGAATGACTGACTATATGGTCTTGCATTTAACAATGAACTATAGTATATTAATTTGACCCCCAAATCAGGCAGAGATTAAATGGACTCCATAAAGTATTCTACCTTCCTACATTACCAAGAAAAGGTATACACTATAAATCAAAACTCTATTCTAGATTGAGACCAAAATATCAAGATGACATAAAATATTTTATTTTAAATATCAAAAATAGGAGCCAGATTAACCAATCCTGGTGGCTATAATGAAGTAAAAACTCTACATTAAATACTCTGTCCTCAAGGACCTGATGTTAGAATAGCCAAATTTATATTATTAACCTTTTATATTTTTATTTAAATGTTTAAGTTTTTGCATTAATCATACTATCCACTATCTCTATGGACCTATGAATTTAATCTAGCCATCTAAACTCATGACTTTTTAAATTCACTGATCTATTTTTTTTCCATTTACAGTCTATACATTCTGAATTAAGTTCTCCATAAGTTTTCATTCCTTTCTTCTTCAGGGAGTCTTCATCCAGGCTTATCAAAAGATTTTGTCAAGACATCAATATCCTAAAATAGGCTATTTAGATTAGTTTCTCTATTTTGCACTAAACAAATGAATTTGGTAGTATTAAAGTGTACAGAGAAACACTCTAATTTCTATGAATTTCCACAATTCTATACATTATGCTTAACAAGCGATATGGGTAAGATTAGGAAAAAAGTGTTAGAGTACTGATTTATAACTTCATATAAGCAAATTAATCATTTGTGATAAAGTACAAGAGCTTTTAAAACAATCTTTCCCATGATACAAAGTAACTTAACTTTCTCCACTTCTTTGCCAATGAAACCTCTACATGTTAGAAACTACACTTTATAAATCACTATTTAAAAGTTCAAAGTGCAAAATTTTTAGTTATTTTAAACCATGATAATTAAAAAATTAAAAAAAAAGAATTTTTCATAAGAGAAAGCACTTGATGAACCATTAAATAATGGTCATTTAAGTGTCTATTTAATAAATACGTACTGTTCATTGACTTACCATTCATTTGGCATTATTTAGGGAAAAAATATTGATATGGGTCAAGGCATTAAAAAATGTGTAAATATGCTCAAATATACAAAATATTTAGGACATTATGGCATTATATTGCGAAAGAAAAACTTTACCATACTTATCTATGACCCAAAGTCATATATACTTTAATATTTATCACTATATTGATATTTTAATAACTTGATGTACTCTAAAACTAAAGTTGTCCAAGATTAAGACTGAGAGAACCCTTGATTATTATGAAGAAAATATCCAGTATCTTCATATTTATCAAATCAACATTTTACTTAGCTATCAGTATCTTATTTTTTCAGAGAATGAATAAGTTTCTCACAAATTCTGATTTTCTAAATTCTTCCCTCTCATCCAAATTGAGATACATCTGCCATTTTCCAGGTTTTAGAAACACTTGTTGAAAAAGCTATTGAGTTTATAATAGTAGTGTAAAATTTTAGTTAACCCACGTAAGTACATACTCAAAATTTCTTGAGAAGAAAGGATAGCTTTATGACTGTCCAAATTAACTCAAATAATATTAATGTGAACCTAATTTTTACTTTGGGCAAAGGAGGCTCATCTGAGAAGATGAGTTTCAAGAGATCTGCGAGTGACAGCTACTTTAAATTGTACCTTTCCCATTTGGCAGCATTTACCCTTAGAAAAAAAAGTAGTCACCTTTCATTCCAAGTAAATCACTCAGATTAGCCTAATTCCAATGGACACCGAGGCCATAGATGAAAAAATATCCAAAAGGATCAGTTATTCCACCCTGTTTGCTTCTCACTCACGAACGGCCCACAAATGCCCTTCCTCTGAAAACTCGGAGTTGACCCCTCATGACTGACAGCCTCTAAGAAATAATACAATGGAAAAGTTGACACTTTTCAAAGTTGGGAAGCACGAGGGACAAATCAAAGATGCGTGAGAACCGACAGGTTATGCCCTCTGAAATACTTTTGACAAAAGAAATAAATAGAAGCAAAACCGAGATTCAGAAAAGCACCTCTTCCTGCTGCGCACCCCAGTCGAGCTGCTCAGAGACCCCTTAGAAAAGAAGCTGGCTGGAGGCTCACCTTCCATGTCGCCGCCGGGCTGGGTTGGAGCTGCCTCTCTGGCTACCCGGCCGCTCCACGTGCTCCTGCCGTCGCGGGGACGCAGCGCGCAGCTGGCGGGAGATTCCCGGCGCGGGGAGTCCCCGGGATCCTGCTGCCGCGTCGGCGCAGATTGAAACGGGCAGGAGCCGGCGATCTGCCGGTGCGCGGGGTTACAGCGGCGCTGGCTGGGGGGGGGGTCGGCTTTAAAGGACGCGCACCGCCAAGCGCCGCAGGTTCCGCGCCTCCAGCCCCCTTTTGAATGTCAAACCGGAGGAACCCCATAGGATGGAAATGGCGGCTTAGTAAATTGCCTCGAAATGTCTATTTTAGAAGGAAAATGGATGAGAGAGTGGATGAGGGGATCAGGCATCACTTTCTTGGTAAGCTCAAATTCAAAAAGTTTGTCTTACATTGAGAAATCGAGTTCAAGTTCAAAGAGATTTGTCTTAAATGTCTAGATTTGCGAATAGTAGCCATCAATGAGAACTCACTTCATTGCAAGTACTTGTTTTTTTTGTTTTGTTTTTGTTTTTATTTTTTCAAAATCTTTCTCCGTTTTTCATTTCACGTGGTGAAAGTTCTTGGTCTAAGTTTTCAGAAAAATAGTTCAAAACAATTGGGTCACTTTTATCAACTCAACTTTTTCATTTTTGGAAGCATTTTGTTTCCCCTCTGGCTACTACTTGGTTTATGTGCCACCACCACAAAATACTACTGGCTCTATTTAGGTGTGTTTATTTTCTTCTACTCTGTCTTCTCCCAAATCAAACACCTACCAGAAAGTAAGTAAATAGTGGAAAGTAAGTAAGAAAATAGATCTGGGGTGGGGGTAGTAAGATAGTAAAATTAACTGAAAGATGTTAATACACATCTTTTCCCAACATCCTCCCTGCTTTATAGAGGTATAGCACACATTTGAATGTAGGGAGTGGAAAGAGGAAGTGACCACAAATCTGTTTTGTTTTTTTTTTTCCTTCAGAGCAGAACTTTTCTTTACACTGAGTTCTGAAGGATATTGTTCAGATGAGTCCTTCTATAGATACCTAGTGTGTTGAAGTGGACAATATATAAGTGATTCTGGAGAGGTTTTTTGTTTTTTGTTTTTGTTTTTTTTTTTTAGAGGTTTTTGCTATAGGGAGCGTGCACTCGCCAGACAGAGAGAGAGAGAGACAGAGACAGAGAGACAGAGAGCTAGAAAGCGAGAATTCACCCCCCAGGGGGGATGGCCATGCCGCAATCCCTTCTCCTCTATTCTCCTCTCAGGATCTTGGGCACGCACACACACGTGCCCGGTGTGAGTTTAAGCCACCGGGTCTGGGACGCAAACCGCAGTCAACTACGTAGGAGTCCAGTGACATAGCCATTACGCTAACTGCTGGTCCCCTGGAGAGGTGTTTTTTTTTTCTTTGCGTGCGCTCGCCAGACAGAGACAGGCAGAAAGCGAGAAATCACCCCCCAGGGGGGATGGCCACACCATCCCTTCTCCTCCATTCTCCTCTCAGGATGTTGGGCATGCATGCACATGTGCACAGTGTGAGTTTTAAGCCACCAGATCCAGACGCGAACCACGGATGACTACATGGGAGTCCAGTGACATAGCCATTACACTAACTGCTGGTCCCAATATATAAATGATTCTGAAAAAGAGCGCTACCACCCTTTTTAGAAAGTTATACTGTTAGTGTATACAAATATATTGGAAACTTAAAGTTGAGGGTTTATGTATCGTCTAATCATATGAGGAGAACCTCACAGTTAAAAGTTAAAGTAGGCATAATGTAATTTTATTTTTATTTTTTTAGAGATTTTTGCTATAGGGTATGTGCATTCACCAGAGAGACAGACAGAAAGTGAGAAATCACCTCTTGGGGGGATGGCCACCCTACAATCCCTTCTCCATTCTCCTGTGATTTGAGGCATGCATGTACTTGCACCTGGCATGTTTCAAGCTACTGGGTCTGGGACTCAAATCGTGTCAGCCACATGGAAGTTCAGCTCCTTAACCACTACACCACCACCTGCTGGCCCCTGCATGATATAATTTTATAAATTTGAATTTGAAATAGTTCCTTGATATAGGTCTATGTATATGTGTGTGAGGGGGATTTTTTTTTTTTAATGAGCAAGTAACTTGCATTGGCTTTTAGATTAAAGCACCACAGTAGCATCTCTATAGTTGTAAGTTGGAGTTCTGCAGGATGGTATCAATTTTGGAGAAATACTCTAAACACTAGACCTAATCTTAGTACTGAAAGGGGAAATTTGTTGTTTGTTAGTTTCTAAAAGCAAAAATAGCACATCAAAAGTAGCAGAAGAGGAACTGTAAAATTTCACAGGGATAGTGTGAGGATGAGTAGTTATTTGGTTATTAAAAAGTTGTAAAGTGGGGCCAGCATGTGGCTTGGCGGTTAAGGCACTGGATTCTTACACGGCTGACCTCAGTTTGAGTCCCGAATCTGGCAGCTTGAAAATCACACTGGCTATATGTGCATGCATGCCCAAAATCCTGACAGGAGAATTAAGAAGAAATTGCAGCATGGCCATCTCCCCTGGGGTGGGGGGTGATTTCTCACTTTTTTTCTCTGTCTCTCTGGTAATCATAGGCACCCTATGGCAAAACCCACCCTCCCCCCAAAAAGTTGTAAAGAATCTTTATAATAATTTTCCATTATAATGCCTTTATCCTTAACAATGAAATGTGTTACTACTTTGTAAATACTTCAATGTTGAATATTTCTGACTTCAGAGAGAGAGATACCTAAAGGGATAGATATAAATAGAGGGGTAAATAATTTATGTAGCTACTCCACCCTTAAGGTAGTGTGGCATAAATCCCTATTCTTTTAAGTGTAAGCTACACATAGTGACCTCCTTCCAGAGTACAGTATAAAGAGAGAGCTCAATTTACAGTGGAGAAACCTGACAAACACTACCTTAGCAAATGATCAAGGTTAACATCAATAGTCATAAGGCATGTTGGTAGTACGTACCTTTGATAGGATGTGTGATGACACATTGTAGTCTTCCTCCCCAAAACCCACATCTCTAGTCTAGTAATGAGAAAAACATTAGACAAATTCCAGTAGAGAGGTATTCTACAAAATACCTGACCAATTTCCAAGGGCATCAAAAACAATAAAAATCTGAGAAACTGTCATAGACAAGAGGAGTCTAAGGAGACATGATGACTAAATGTAATGTGGGATCCTGGAGCAGAACAAGAAAAATTGGTAAAAAACTAAGGAAATGTGAATAAAATATGGACTTTAGTTAACAGTAATGCATCCCTATCGGTTCATTACCATGAGAAATGTAGCATATGAATATATGTAAGATGTCAATAATAGGGTCAATCAGTGGTGTGGTGGTTAAGGCAGCTGGATCTCACATGGCCGATGGCACAGTTCAAGTCCCAGAACTGGCAGCTTAAGAAACACATGAGGGGGGACCAACAGTTGTCATAATGGCTATGTCACTGTACTTCCATGTAGTTGGCCATGGTTCGAGTCCTGGACCCAGTGGCCTAAACTCATGCCGTGTGTGTGTGTGTGTGTGTGTGTGTGTGTGTGCGTGCGTGCCCAAGATCCCGAGAGGAGAATGGAGGAGAAGGGATTGCGGCATGGCTATCCCCCAGGAGGTGATTCCTTGCTTTCTGTCTCGCTGTCTCTGTCTTTCTGTTGAGTACATGCACCCTATCACAAAAGCCTCTCAAAAAATAAAAAAGGAAGAAAGAAAGAGAGAGAGAGAGAAAGACACTAGATACGTGTACATTTGTGTCTAAAATCCTGAGAGGAAAATGGAGGGACTGCGGTATGACCCTCACCCCTGGAGACTGCTTTCTCACTTGCCCTCTCTTTGGTGAGTGCATGTGCACTCTAGCAAATTAAAAAAAAAATGTCAATAATAGGAAAAACTAAGTTGGGTTGCATGAGAACTCTCCATATTATCTTTGTAATTTTTCCATAAATCTAAAACTCTTATAAAATATAAACTTTACTTAAAAAGATGAACTGGTACCTTCAACAGACAATTAATACTCGTTTGGTGGAGTCTCTTCTCAGGAATCAAAATTTATTACATAGGATTAACAAGAATCAATTATTAATAGTAACTGGAAAATCCATAAAGCACAATGTAGATTTATAATGTACTCTGACTAAAAGTAGAATGATAAATGTACAGAGAATCAAAGATAATCTCTAAATTTGTCCTCATTATTATGATCTTACGAAGAGAACAGTTGAGGTTAAATCATAAATCTAGACACGGTAACTGACAAGGGTAGATCTGACTCACTGAATTACATTTCATGGCTTAAGCGATATAGGTAAAATTAACAGTGACTAAAAATGAAATTACTGACAAAGGTTACTCCTGGACCATCTGAGATAGTCCTACTACTGACTTGGCTCAAAGGAAATAAAACTGAAAACTCTTGATCTCACCCAGAATAACCATTCTGCACCCCGTCTGAACCTACCAGCCTACCTAAAACCACTACTGAAGTTGGTGTCCCGTTTCTAAGAAATAAACATATAAGGCCTTTCATGTCACCAAACTATAATAGTAGCCAACTAAGACGTGGGCACTGTCTCTTCTGGAGCTCTCTGATCTTGACTCAGGAAAAGCAGATCTTGGGCTCTGGCTTTTCAACTGGGCCCATAGACCAAAGAAAGGTTACTTCATACCCCTGGGTAGACTTGGTAGTGTTAAAATGCACAAACACACCAATGTGTATGGATTTATATGAGTCTGCACACTATCTCATATTTGAAGTCGAAAATGAACATTGATTAGGCTCTAGAATGGGAAGGCCAGGAGGTGTCTTGTGGTGCTGCCAGGACTTGGTTTTGCAGATGGAATGCAGTTGACAAAAACTGAGTTTCAGAGTTTTAAAGGGACTGGGCACACAGTTTCACACAATTTGTGAGAGGAAAGGCACAAGAAATTCCCACAAGAGGTTCTCCACTTCATGTGTGGAGGAAACTCTCAGCCTCGGGTCTTAATGTAATCACACCTGTAGCTGCTCTACCCCATCTCGGTCCTTGGGACCCACAGTATTTTCTCGTCGCTCTTTTCAGCTGCTAAGAAAGACCTCGGAACGCAAGGCCTTGTCTGTACTGTCTTTGGGCGCCACTCACAGAACCAGGCCACCGAAAGCGCGGGAAAATGGCGCCAGACGCGAGGCGCGGAGCTCTGCACTGCGCAGGCGCGAGGGGTGGGGCCTCCCTTCCCGCTCTCGAGCCCCAGAGCACGCATGCGCTCTCCCGCGCGTCCGCTGCCTTGGTAGCCTCAGACCGGTAGGGGATCCTACCCCGTTGGTTAACTCCGCTCGGCGGAGAGATGGGGAGGCGTTGGGCCAGGGCGGAGGTAGGAAGGAGTCAGCCCCTCGACGTCTCCCGCATAGTTGGTCCTTGAGCCGTGATGCAAGCGTGGGTCCTACTCTTCGCGGTACTCTGGTACCTTCCAAGAGGTGGGGCTCTAAAATCCTGCCCTATGCCCAAGGTGTCCCAGCCTGCCCATTCCCCTTACCCCTGCCCTGCCCTCCTGCCCTTCGAACCCTGGCTCCTCTTCTAACTAAAAAGGCAGTGGTTTCTTCCCTCCGCAGTTGGATCGCAGCGTTCTTCCTTACTCAGCAAGGAAGGCTTCATTTATGGGCAGCAAGAATACGCAGGTAATAAAGATTTCCACCCGCAGTGCCTATGAAGAGCCAGGGGTGCTGTGGAGCTCGAGCTAGCGCTTATTGAGCATCTACTGTGAGCCGGGCAGTTTACGAAGGTTGCATCTTTTCATCCTCAAAGTGACCCTACTGTTTTAGCTGAATTACCTTGACTAAAGTAAGGACCACTAGTAAGGAGCACCTCTTTATCCGGAGCACCTCCCTTCCAGGTGTCTCTGCGGCTTTGCAACACGCGTGGCCCTCCCAGAGGAGTGATTTCCAGGCTGCAGACCATTCAAATGCCCTCTCTCAGTGTGGTGAAACTTCCCTGTGATCAAGGGAAATTAGCCACACAGAGAACTTAAGGTCACTTTAGTCCCTCCATGCCTGGACCTTTCCACCAAAGTCCCTAAATTGTAGGACGGTTTCTTTATATGCTCAGGGCCTGGCATTCTGTAAGCTTTAAAATTAATATCTTGTGGAACTGTGTTGATGCCAAGTGTGTATGTGTCCATCAACTCTGAAACAGAACAGGTCACTGCAGAACATCATCCTAGTATGCCCCATATAGGCTTATTATTGTCCCCAACAGAGAAATTTTCAATTAAATATAAAGTTTTTCTAAGGGAATTTAGGGACGATCATAATCATCTTTATAATAGTTTTGTAACCAAGCTTAAGTCCTTTTCAGAACTTTAAGTTGATTCCACCAACTCTTCAAAAAATCATGATCTGGGACCAGCAGTTAGCGTAATGGCTATGTTGCTGGACTCCCATGTAGTCAACCACGGTTTGCATCCTGGACCTGGTAACTTAAAACTCATGCTGGGCTCATGTGCATGCGTGCCCAAGATCCCGAGAGGAGAATGGAGGAGAAGGGACTGTGGCGTGGCCATCCCTCCTGGGGAGTGATTTCACGCTTTCTGTCTCTCTTGTCTCTCTCTCTCTGTCTGGCGAGCGCATGCGCCCTCTCTGTTGGGCGAGCCCATGCGCGCTAAAACAAAAACCCCTCCAAAAAAAAAAAAAAAATCATGATCTGAGTGAGTTCTGAATCTGTACATTTAGATGAACTTCTAAATGTATGTACATTTTATAAGTAAAAAATAATATCCTAGAAAAAAGAAAAATATGACTATAACAGGCTAGAGTTTTAAAAACTTACTATGAGGGCCAGCACGTGGCAGAGTAGTTAAGGCACTAGATCCCACATGGCAAACTCTGGTTGTCTTCCAGACCCAAAGGATTAAAAAATACACTGGGGTGGGAACCAGCAGTTAGCATAATGGCTATGTCGCTGGACTCTCACATAGTCGACCGTGGTTCGTGTCCCAGACCTGGTTGCTTAAAACTCACGCCGGGCGTGTGTGCGTGCGTGCCCAAGATCCCAAGAGGAGAATGGAGGAGAAGGGACTGCGGCGTGGCC